CGTGGCCTCATGGTTGTGACTCGTGAAAGCTTAGCTCCCTGCCATCCTTGGAGAGCCCCGGGGCGTTGGGTGCAGCCTGTCAGAGCAGAGGGAAGGGCCCAGGACAAGGGTAGGAGAGGCAGGGGCTGGGAGAGGAAGAAGGAAGGTGCGGGGGGCAGAAGTGAAGGAGAGGAGTGGATGCTACAGGGGGATGGGGATGAATGGAGCAGGCCAGAAGAAGCGCGCTCTGGGTTCACATTTCCCGCCACAACGTGATGGTCGCCTCTTGTCTTCCGTCCCCTGTTACTGGTACAATGGTCACTGCTCACAGCGCTGCCCGCGGGCTGGTGGCTGTCACCACACACACGCAGGGCCCCGCCGGGAGGGCCTGGAAAGGGACACTCAGGCCAGACCCCAGCACCGCGGAGTGCTGCCCCTTGCCTCTCCCCCTGCTCTCCAGCCTCCATAGCCGGGGCTTCTCCGCTGCCTCCCCTGAGGAGCCTGCCCAATGCCCAATTGCTCTGACATGTTGGAGCCTTTTCCTAGCATATGCCTCAATTCCTGCCTGCTGCCCTGGAGGTGTCTCCAGACCATGTCCTCCTCCATCTTCTGGATGGGTGCAGCGAGCCTCCTCCTGCCAGCACGCCTAGGAGAGGATGGGCATCCATTGGCATCTTCCATCTGAATCCCAGACATGGAGAGGGCTCTCTCCCCCATTCCAGCCAGTGCATGAAAGTTCCCGCTGAGCCCGAGGGAATGACTCATTGGCCCAAGCAGGACATTCCAGCTCCGTGGATTCCTGGGAACCATACGTTCAGCCCCCTGCAGAGCCATCTCCGACCTCCTAGGCGAGCGCGGTTCTGTGCCAACGGCTCTGCGTGGCTCTTTCAGAGGAGATCTTAACCATGGCCATTCTCGCTGCACGCTGGAAATCCTGCAGGGCTTCCGGCTAGCTGCCCCCTGTCTGGCTGACCATATCCCGGCTCCCCCAGAGGTGGCTGCATTTCAGAGGTGATTAATGTAATTTCTGTGTGTTTGGGGCCAGGCCAAGGCCCCATGTACTCAGCAGCAAGCTGAATTCTGTGGCAAGAGCCCTCGATTCTGCAGCGGTTTTGTTTCAATTCAAATCCAGATGTTTGTCGAGATATGAAAATTCACATTGTGATCAGCACAGCAGCTCCTGGGTCATTTATCCTGATGCTGAATTCAGCTCACTCATTGTCCCCACAGCTGCAGTTTTGGATGCCAAAGACTTTTCCATGGACCATGTGTGGCTGCATCCCAGAAACGGCTGGAGGGATGCTGGAGGTTTGGGTCACTAGCTGAGAGGCACCTGGAGAGGCAGTTTGGGATTGTGGGCGAAGCACAGTAGCTGGATGTTTCTGCCAAACTGCTCAGTGGTGAAATAGCTCACAAGGTTAATATTCAGACTGCCCTCTTCGGCTCTCAGTTCACACCTCTGTGTTTGCTTCAGACTCTCTGCACACTCAGGCAGGCATCACTGCATTGGGTCACATTGCCAAGGTTTCCTTCAAAGCCAGGAGGGCTAGAGGGTGTTTCTGAAATGGAAGCAGAGACTATGGCGCACAAGGGGTGGATTTCACTGCTCGAGTATGTGGGTCCACGTGCGCAGAGCTTGTGCAGCCCTTGGGGGTCCTGAAGGGTGACCGTGCTGTGGCCAGAGCAGTGTGGCGCATCAGAGCGTATTCTGCAGCCTCGTCTAAGTGCCCCATGAGATGGGGCCACCATGTCCTGGAGAGACGATTCCCCAGGCTAACATGCTGCACCATTAGCAATTTTGCTCAAGCTCATCCCATTTCTCCGACCGCGCTCCCCCTTGGACCACCCTGGCTTGGAGCTCCTCCGAGGAGCTCTGGCTTATAGGCTGCAAGGGGAGGAACTTGGCCATCTTTGCTCTCCCACTTCCAGTGGGGGTCATTCCAGTCTAACCCCCCTCACTTCGCTCCCGGAGCCCCCCCGTCCTCCCCCGCGCCGGAGCCCCCCGAAAGAGGCAAACGCCGCCTTCGCTCTGGGTTTTAGACACGTTCTGTCTCTGTTCCCGAGTCTTGTCGTCCGTCCAAACAGCAGGAAGCCATTTGTCAGCGCGGGGCTGGGGATGTGGCAGTTGCAGAGCTTTGCAGCCGGGCTGCTGAGAGATCGCAGGCAGCTGTGGGAAAGTGACTCACTGGGGGGGGGGGGGGGGGGGGGGGGGTTTGCTGCTTCTCAGAACCAGCTCCTTCTGGCTTAGGGGCTTAGAAGGCCGCTGTCACTGTAGTATCTCAGCGCCTCACAGTCTTTACGGGCTTTATCCTCACGCCTCCCTTTGCAGGTGAGGCGAGGTGACTTGCCCAGGGTCACCCGGGAGGGCTGTGGCAAAGCCGGGCAATGAACCCACGTCTCCCAAGGCCTAGCTAGTGCCCTACGCATTGGACCAGCCTTCTGCCTGGATCATCCTGCCACTCCTACGGGCTGCTTTGTCAGCGCGGGGCTGGGTCCTGCACACACGCCCCTCCCTCTGCCCTGCCGGTAACACAGAGACGGGGAGTGAGCCGACCCCCAGGCCCCCTCCCCCACCCAAAACTAGGATCCTGGTTTTGTTCTGAGGCTCTGACAAGTTTACTTGTCTCCCCCCCCCCCCCCCCCCGCCTCCCCCCAGAGCTATGTAAACTTTTTGCTCCCCCTGCACGTTGGGGCTGTTTCCTTGTTTGATTCCCATCCTCCCGCCCCTCTGCGGTGCAGAGCGCGTTCGCAGGGACAAACGCACCGTGCTGCCCTATTGCAAACCTTGCAGTGTGATGCTGCTGCCTTGGTGATATTTCATGGCAATCAAGGGGTTAACTCCAGCTCAGCTTCTCCCCTCGGCTCCTTGGCAGGGCTGTACATTGGCTGTTTGTGTCAGAGGCCTGTAAAGCAGAGGCGGCATCCCCCTCACACAGAGGGTAATAGCCTACTTCTGCTGCCAGCTAAGGGCATTGTTCCTTTAACTTAAGTGGTAGAGGTTTGCGCTTTGGTGCTGGGTTCAAACTCCGCCCGGGCCCTGTGGTGGAGATCGTGCCCCCGGGGGAGATTAAGGGAGGCCTGACAATGTGGAGGGGTGGGCTTCACGCCCCAGGCCGTGGCATCGGGGAGTTTTCTTGTTGCGATCTCTCGCTCTAAATGCTGTTCCTCAGGGAAAAGACCTCGCTGACTGTGACTGTGGTTTGTTTTATTTCTCCTGAGTCGTCGCCCCTGGCCCCTGTCATGAGCCTATCTGAGTCTGTCGCGCCCCAGGTCCGGCAGCTCCCAAAGGAGGGGGGCAGGCAGATTTGGATTTGGGCATCCTTGACAGTCTTCAGCCCCGGCCTGCATTGGTCAGGGACGGGTGGCGGGTATGTGGGTGGATGGGTGGGATTGTAGGAAGTCCAACTTCCCCTGGAGTTAGATCTGAAATCCCCTCTGGCCTTAGGAGTTAAAACCCGGACAGTCCCTTCTCTGCACCTCCCTCTGAGTTCCTGCCCCACTTCCTCAGCTCTGTGGGGGTCACCCACTCCTTCCCTCCTGCTGGAGCGGCAGGACCCAGCCACTTCCCCACTGCCCGCCTGCCTCAGATCTGGCCCGGCTCCATTCCCCTTGCCTCCATCCCCCCCCAAGGACGTTACAGGAGTGTCCCATCTGCGGACAGCCTGTGCTGAGATGGGAGCCCAAGGGGAGGCCAGAAGGGAGCAAAGCACTTCGGGCTCAGAGGACTTTGGAAAGAAGCCGTGATTCATGCTCAGCATATGTCTCCTAATCCCAGAGCCAGAGAGGCAGGGGAGGGGGTCCAGGCGGCAGCCAACCCTACTGGCCGAGCCGCGCTCCTTTCCCCACCAGGCATCTCTGTGAGCAGGCCCTGGGTCTGCGCGCCTCTCCGGGCCGAACTCCCTTCGCTCCACGGCCGCTGACTGCTCAGCGCTGGTGACTGGGGCAGAGCCGAGCCGCTCTCCGCTCCGCGGCCCGATGAGGCGAGCCACAGCCGCCCCATGGGGAGAATCACCGTGAAAGCCGAATGTAGGCCCCAGCTGGGGCTACGCCAATGCAACGAGTAACAACGGTGGGGGAGAGGGGGCAGACAGGGAAGGGGGTCTTGGGGCTGGGGAAGGCCGCAGCCTTGGTTTTGAATGGCTCCCTCTGTGGGGCTGCCTCTGTTTCCAAGACAACAGCACTGGGGGAGACGGTCAGGGGCTCCGGGTTTGGCGTATGCACTCTAGGCTCCCCTAGCCCTATCCCCTTCCCCAGGCACGGCTCTTCTCTCCCGGCCTACCCCTGCCCACCCCCCTGCTCCCCGATCGACCCCTCCCAGCTCCAGCTCCTCTCCTGTTTGCCTGGGCACGTCTAGTTGTGTGAACGCATAGCGAGGTGTGCGCACGCACAGAGGTGTGTGTCTGCGTGTGGATGCGGTTGTGGCGGTGTTTGCGTGGCCTCGGTGTGCTGTGTGGATCTTCCCATGTTGTGTGCGTCCAGGGACACGTCTGTGTGCGGTCCATTGGGTGTCTGCCTGCGGGGATGGCCGGCGTCTGCGCGGTGATTCGGCGGGAGGAGCATGATGCTAACGCCACGTGCTGAGCAGGAGGGTCCTGCAGGGAAGGCATCTGCATTGAGGCTCTCGGTAGATCCACAGAACCGGTGCAGCCGGAGCAGCAGCAGGGCCACCTTCCACTGAAGCGACTCTGCTCCCCCGGCCCAGTCTGTGGCAGGTGCGGCCACCACCGGGCTGAGCGTCTAGCCCAGTCTGACTGGCAGGGCGGCAATCCGTGCCAGCGACCACGGGGTTTTCTGTGCCGTGGACGCAAGTTGGCCGCCAAGCAACCATCAGGCGGGCCTGGCTGTCGGTCACTACTGGCCTGGTCTGCACTCGGTGTAGCCGCCTGGAGCAGAAAGGCCCCAGATCTGATCCTCCAGCCCCCACCTTTTACTGGGCTAGTCCTTGCCCCTCTTAGGCAGTAAAATAAGGAGGGACTAGGAAGACCTGGGACTGCTCACCGGGTTCTCTTGTTCTCTCCTAGCAGGCTGCTGTCGCCGGACTACACCGAGACGCACTACACAGCCGGCGGGCAGCCGGTGACGCTGTCTCCCAACTACACCGTGAGTAGGGTGCCCGGCATTGCCAAGGGCAGAGATTTTGCAGTGGTGCTGGTGACTCTCTTCCCTCTGAGTCAGCGCTGAACCAGTGCCCGGCTCGGGGTGCTGTGCTCCTGGCGGCGCTGTCCCTTGAATGACCTGGAAAGCTCAGGATCTGTCCCGTTGTGGGCGTTATGGGTCTGGTGGCACTTTTTGCAAGCTTGGGAGTGTTTGTCCCAAGCAAATTTCACCCAGCGCAGGTTATTGCATTCTACCTATTTATAACCCCCTTCACTTCCGGTCCCAAACTATCATGTGGTGCCACTGTTAAACAGCTGCCATGTTCCACCCCAGAGGTGGCTGCATTTCTATGGTGGGCAAAGTGACACCTGTGTAGCGCTTGTACCTAATCTGGGAAAGGGGGGGTGGAAAAGAGATTTTACGGTGTGTGCCTAGCCGGCCCAGCTGGACTCGGGGGATACTGGGAGGTGCTCAGATATCATGATGAGTCCCTAGAGAGCTCGCTAAACAGCTTCATGCTTGTACAGCGCTTTGGGGTCTTGTGGGATGAGAGGAGCTGGGTAAATGTACAGGTCAGGTAGTCGTCGTGTCTGCCCCGTCACTCATGGAAGAGACTGTCCGGTGTAAATCAGGATCATTCCCTTGAAATCACTGGAGCTTGCTGATTTACACCAGCTGAGAATCTGACCTCTATCTCTCTAGGCTCCCTGCCGCCAGCATCTTTCACCAGCGCTGCACTAATCGGTGACGCTCCACCTCTCGCATCTCCTCCCTCTCACCAGCCTGTGTCCTATCGCCGCCAGATCGGAGGTGGTGACCCTCCAGGGGTGCAGGCTGGTAGGAATGGAGGATAGCAGTGGCTGTGAGGGTCACCCCTTCAATATAAGTTGCAGCCTATAAGTCACAATACAAGCCAAACCACGGAGAAGAAGGATGGTCCAACAGCCAGAGCTCTAACCCTGCACTTGGGAGATATGGGTTCCATTCCTTGCTCCCCCACAGCCCTCCTATGTCACCTTGGGTGACTCACTTAGCCTCTCTGTGCCTCAGTTTCCCCCGCTGTACCATGGGGATAATAGCACTGCCTCCCAGGGGTGTTGGGAGGATACTGCAGCAAAGCCTGGGAGGCACTCGGATTCGGTGGTGATGGGAGGGCCAGATAAGTCCCATAGATGCATAGACAGGCTTCCATCAGGACCACAGTGCAGGGGTGTGTATGGTTTGTGGAGATTTCTGCGGGACGGGACTGTCGCTATTTGCTTGCAGGCTCTCTGAGGAGCCGCCATATGACTCTGGTTTCGGGAGTCCTGCTTTATTGGGGGTTGCTTATGGCACCCAGAGGCTAGGGGACCCCCCAGAGTAATAATATAAACCCCTCCCAGCCGGGTTCTTGGGCATTGAACGGTCAATAAAGACTTCAGGGTGGCTCACTGTCCCCATCTGACTGTTCCTGTCTGGGAGCTGCTCGGCTCCCGCGCTGAGGCGGTGGCCATGGAAACCCCCATAAACCAACACGCTTTGCAGGAGTGGAAACTGAGGCACTCCGCGGTCAAGCGACTTGAAGCACAGCCGGCGAGTGTAGTGGCAGGAATGGAACCCAGGAGTCCTGACTCCCAGGCAGCTGCTGTGATCACCGGACAGCACCCCCTGCCTGTGTAGCTCCACAGGGCTGACATGGCTGCTCTGTTGGGGGGCCGCCGAGGGCAGTGGCTGGTTCACGGCACGGATTCTCAAAGGGTGTGAGCTCTCCAGCTGACTTCACCACCGCACAGGGGTGTTGTGAGGATAAACGCATTAAAGACTGTCAGATACGACTATCACGGGGGCCATCCAAGCCCCTTAGACAGACAGTCTCCTTACCCAGAGCTGCTCTCTGCCGAACCCCCAGACCTTGAGCACTATCTTCTTCTGCATATGACTGACGGTGGCTTTCAAACCTAAACGTTCCGCAGCATTTCAAACTTTGCAATTCAAACAGTGCAGGGAAAACGCTGACACATTTTGTGACATTTCCCCCTGGTTTTTAACCAACTCTCAAAGTAAAAAAGAAAGAAAGCCACACGCCACATTTTGTAAAACAGAGGAAACATTGGGGAGGAAAATTCACCAAATTCCCTCTCCCATTTGTTTTGCTGTTTGACCAGCTCTCTGCTTTTCAGATCCTGTCCTAAATTTGCAGGTTGTTTCTGGGCTCTGTGGATTAGCAGCCCCGTTCCACCCCAGAGGTGGGCACAATGCCTTTGCCAGGTATCCCTTACCTCCACTCTGGCATGGCACTGTCCGCTAACCTCACCCGAACTGGGGAAGAGGTGGGTGTAGGAAAGACCGTTTGATTTACCAGACGGAGTCCCTCTCTTTAGGCTCCCACCGGACAGACAGGGCAAACAGCCCTGAAGTGGAGCTGTCGTAGCGAAAGGAAGTGGGTGGATGGATGGAGCCAGGGGGAAAGTCAATCCCTCGCAGAAAGCCTGCTGCACCGATTCTGCCTTCCCCCAGGACCACACTGCCATCTAAACACAGTTGGAGCAAAACTGGATTCTGTTACAAGGCCGGATCCTGCTGTCTGGTTTCAAGCCCCATTGGTTTCAGTGGCGAGCTCTGTTTAGCAACCGATGGCACGAAGCAGTTGCTGTCTGGCCAGGCAGCGTTAGTAGGGGCCAGGCTGTGCTAAAGATATTTAAAAACCACGCTGGAGCCCCAGTGCACCTCACGTCCAACGCATTCGGGTCTGTTTCTCTACAGGCAGAGGTGATCCTAAATCAATCTCACTCTCTCACACACACACACTCACACACTCTCTCTCACACACTCTTTCACACACACACACTCACACACACACACACACACCCCGCTGCGGGCCGAACGGGGTGTTAGGAACCAGCTGGTCTGGCACCAGACTTGAATTGTGGTTACAGCCACAGTTCTGTGGCCAGGGGAGATGGGGCCACAGGCTGCCCCATCCACCACACCCTTGCTGTCATTGTTAGAGCCTCAATATTAAGTCTCTCTCTCTCTCTCTCTCTCTCTTTATTTTTCTTTAAGATACTCTGTCACCAGGGCATCATCCCTCCATGTCTAACGTGTGATAGTCTAAGCAGCCTGTCCTCAGGGTATCTGTCCCCCACTCATTTCCCACACCCCAAATCACAAAGCTGGCCCGAGCATGGTTTCTCCAGACCCATGGAGCCCTGCTTCTCCTCCCTTCCCTGGGCCAGGCTGCTGGGGGCAGGCTCCTCCGGGCGGGGGTTGTGGTGTGATGACATTGGGATGCCAGGTCGGCCGAAAGCGTGTTCCCCGAAGCTCAGGTTCGCTTGGCCGGGCCCGTGCAGATCCCGCTGATCTCGTTTCCCCTCCGCTGTGGGTGCAGCTCTCTCAGGGGCAGCTCTGCCCCAAGCCCCCCGCGCGTGGGCACAGTCCAGCCCCCAGACAGCTTTGCACTGAGGCTGCCTGCTTTGAAACAGGGGCCCCCGATGTGCAGACGTAGGCCTCCGAGGCTGATAACCGGACACCCTCCCCTCCCAACGCGGCTCGCCATGGGCCTGCTTGTGTGAGCAGCCGGGGTGACCTGTTTTCCCTGACAGCGGGGCTGATGCATGTAGCGTTAGGAATGCGAGCAGCACGCGGCTGCCTGTGTCTCTTGGACGGGATACAGCACCTCCCGTCCCAGGGAAAGAGAAACACGCAGCAGACGGCAGCTCCGGCCCCCTGTTCTGCTCCCCCCCTCCCTTCAGTCCAGGAGGCCCAAGTCCAGTGACCTTTGGGAACCAGACTCGTGGTCAGTCTGGCTTTGTTCTCGCAGCTGGGTGGGGTTATTCTCTGGGGTGGGGATTATTTCCCCTTCGGGCTGCCTCGTGTATGGCCCAGAGCTACAGGAGCAAGGTGCTCTAAGTGAGAGAGCTCTGGTCACCTGGGCAGATGCACTACGGGGGCCCTGGTCCAGCTCACTTGGAAGTCAATGGCGAAACGCTCCTTGCCTTTGATGGGAGTGCGATTGGGCCTGGACAGGACAGGTGGCTGAATTTGGTGCAGTCCATCACATGGCCTACGGGGGGCGCAGACAAGGTGTGTTTAATTCCCCGCCCTTAGATGCAGTGGGTTGGCAAGTGACATGATTTAGTCTTGGCTTGGGGCCATAGCCGGGTTGGTTTGTCACCGAACAGTGGGTGGGAGTAGCAAGCGGCAGGGTCTGTCTGTCTGATGGCCAACGGTAGCCAATCACTGCTGTCTGTTGCCCTTTTCCCAGGATCACTGTTATTACCACGGCCACGTGCGAGGGTACCAGGGCTCCTGGGTGGTTCTCAGCACCTGCTCGGGGATCAGGTAAGGAGGAGAGTTTGGCATGCGGGTGGAGGGGGAACTGGGGGCAGGGTGCGGGCTCGGTCTGTGTCGCACAATGGAGGAGGGAACTCCCGGCAGGGAAAGCACAGTTCATGCATCGTAGTCAAGGTCCTTGTTCCTCCTGGCCAAGCCGATGAATATCCACTTGATTTTTTTTCATCGCTTCCCTGCCCCAGTCAGGTGCACTGGTGCAAAGGACGCTGCTGTGGACAAGACTGTAAGATCATCTGGACGCAGTTGCCCTGATGCCACAGTGATGGACACAGCATAAGAAGCTGGATGGCTAGCTAGAGACTTTGGCCCCGTTTCTCCATTGCTTTGTGCCTTCGGGCACCGTTCTGACCTGGGAGTCTGTTACAGGTGCTCTACCCTGATGTAATTGACTATGCAAAATGCAGGGCACTGGAGCACGGGGCTCTTTGTCAGTAAAGTGCCGGGCACGCTATAAACAATCTTCTCTAGCAACAGCTGATCGGATGGGTCGGGAATCTCCTGTGGAACTGGCTCGCTTTGCGATTTAACTCCCCTCTGCCGTTTTGGTGTAAAAGGCCAACGTGCCAGGCACGGCCCCTAATGGCAGAATCCGTGTGACTGGCTAGAGGTGAGGATGGAGCTGTCTCCCAAGGCTGGAGCCGTGTGGAAATTTACCAGCAGATCCAATAGCAATGGCTGATGTTGGTAGCACTTTAGATAAAGTGAGGAGGGTTGAGGGGGAGGCCGTCTAAACAATTGGTCTGTCTGTCTAGGTCTTTGCCTCTCACTCATCACTGGGAGCATGAGGGCAATGTGGCCTAGTGGATAGCGCTCTGGACTGGGGCTTAGAAGTCCTGCGCTTCCTATCACCTATTTCTATTGCTGGCTCTGCCACTGGCCTATAGGGTGACCTTGGGCAAATCACTTTCCCACTCTGTGCCTCAGTTTCCCTATCGGTACAATGGAGCTAATGATACCGACCTCCTTTGAAAGCACTGTGGAAGAGCTGGGGATCAGCGTCCGAATGCCTAGGTGGTTAAATAATGAAATCTGGCAGGGCTTCCAGCCTTCATGGCTCAGGAGGAGGAGAAACTGTACCCTATTGTTCAGCGCTGCCCTCCGCTCTCTGGCGACAGCAGGAGGATTAAGGACATGGCAGATTCTGAGCCACATCTTAAACAATCCAAGCAGGTGAAGTAATCGCCCAGCTATGCGCACATGTGATTTCGATTTGATGCGGGAATGTTATGGACGGTGGGGCCAGCCCCTCAGCTGGACGGCCTGGGTGTCGGCTTTCATCTGACACAGGATTCCTGCAACTGACCGAGACAGCGGTGGAGGATTCGTCAGCTGGGGGATTTCATTTGATGTTTGTTCTCCTTTGTGCCATAAAGATGCCAAGGTCTTTGCTGACTGCAGGGGTCTGTTTTCCAGCACTCTGGGCCCACTCTCTTGCTCAGGCATGTGCCCTGGCTTGCTGTGGTTGCTTGGGGTAAATGGCTTTGTGTGAGCACCAGATTCCTGGTTTAGGCCCTGCATTGTCAGCAGCTCAGAGTTTGCATGATCTAGCTGGTTGTGCAGCTTCCCTGGTGGGGCGTGCTGGGGCGGGGCAGGGGATGAGCTAGCGCGTGAGTCCTTTGTTACTGTCGGTGCGCCAAAACGGTTCAGATCAAATCAGTAAGGAGCGAGCGAGGCCCCTAGCTGCAGAGCGAGCTGTTCCTTTCCAAGGCATGAAATTGCTGGATCCATTTATTCACGGCTGTTTATTCATTCGCTGGTCCATCGGCATCTCTTCCCACATCTCTGTCTGTCCCATCTCTCCAAATGCCTGCCCCTTGCCCTAACCCTCCATCTGAATTTCTCTCGCCCGCTCGCATTGTCTCCCACACCCACTTCTGACTTGTGCCACCCTTTCCCCTAGGCGTTTTGGGCTGTATCAGTAAGAGCATTGCCAGCAGATCGAGGGACGTGATCATTCCCCTCTATTCGGCATTGGTGAGGCCTCATCTGGAGTACTGTGTCCAGTTTTGGGCCCCACACTACAAGAAGGATGTGGAAAAATTGGAAAGAGTCCAGCGGAGGGCAACAAAAATGATTAGGGGGCTGGAGCACATGATTTATGAGGAGAGGCTGAGGGATCTGGGATTATTTAGTCTGCAGAAGAGAAGAATGAGGGGGGATTTGATAGCTGCTTTCAACTACCTGAAAGGGGTTTCCAAAGAGGATGGATCTAGACTGTTCTCAATAGTACCAGATGACAGAACAAGGAGCAATGGTCTCAAGTTGCAGTGGGGGAGGTTTAGGTTGGATATTAGGAAAACCTTTTTCACTAGGAGGGTGGTGAAGCACTGGAATGGGTTACCTAGGGAGGTGATGGAATCTCCTTCCTTAGAGGTTTTTAAGGCCCGGCTTGACACAGCCCTGGCTGGGATGATTTAGTTGGTGTTGGTCCTGCTTTGAGCACGGGGTTGGACTAGATGACCTCCTGAGGTCCTTTCCAGCCCTGAGATTCTATGATTCTAACAGCCCCCAGGGAACGCTTGCCAAGCAACTCCTGCCTTCCCTTTCAAAGTCCTCCCTGACGCCCCCCCTTTCCTGTAGCAGCTGTAAAGCGCACACGCCACTCTGTGCCTGATCCGTACTAATCCAGTGAGTGCCCACAGACTGCACGCCAACAGGCTGTTGTGTTGGGCCCCGATCCAGCACAGCATTTCAGTGACTCGCATGACGTTAACGTGTAATTAGAAGTTACCGGAACTGCTCACGTTCTAAAGCTAGGCCCACACATAAGTGCTTTGCTGGGTCAGAGCCCTCGTGCATGTTCTCAGGGCATGTCTCTGCTCTGCTCCCCTGGTTAACTTGGTCAGAGTTGCCCTTGAACTCCTCGTGTGCAGAAAGTGACTGGCTTGTTCCCTTTCCATTCACGTCTCTCCTCTCTTCATTGCCAGCGGCCTGATAGTGCTGAATGCCAACGACAGCTACTACTTGAAACCCCTGGGGACCCCGGAACCTGAGCATCACATCCTCTATAGGGCAGAGCACTTGCCAGTCGAAGGCGGGACTTGTGGGCATAGCGGCCTGTTAGGAAGCAGTATAGCTGACATTGCCAGACTCGTCAGGCCGGTACATCGGCGGGTAAGTCTTTGCTTTCCTTTTGCTGCCCTGTTAAATGGTCCTTACCTGTGCGGAGGCAGGTGAGAGCTGTGGGCAGCTCCCCCTGTGTGTCCGTATAAAGCAGGGTGTGATAACCGCTCCCTCCTGCGGTCGTGCCACCGTGGGCGGTGAGCTTGTAGACGCTAACCGTGGTCAGACCTGGTTTGTGCTTGGACGGGAGCTCTCTAAGGGGGAAACAAATGTAGCAGGAAGCAGTGCTAGTGGATCAGCAGCTGGCGTTCTTCCCTCTGGGCTGGGATGGAGCCCAGTTCACTAGCACGGTGTTAAAGGTTGCTCTGGTTTGGATGAAACGTGAAACTGAACGCTGGTCAATAAAGATCCCATAGCGGGTTCCGCAAGATACGGGGGGTTAACGTTGGTGTTACGGTCCTGTTACAGATCAGCAAATTGCATCTGAGCCGCCAAGATTTTTTTTTGCTGCTCTGTGCCTCAGTTTCCCTCTCTCTGAACGTTTCCCCATCACTGTTCAATGCACGTGATCTTGAATGTCAAGATTGGGGGTTGCTGAGAATTTGGACTGAGTCCTGTCTGTTGCACTTGCTTCCTTTTCCTCCTTTCTCGTGACGCTTGCGATTTGTTGTGCAGGCAAAGAGAGACACCTGGAGGACCCTGAAGTACATGGAGCTGTTCATTGTCGCCGATTACACCCTGGTGAGCACTTAACTCTCAGAAACTGGCTCCAATTGATCATCAGCTGGAGGAACACGGACGACTGTCAGGGAGGGAGGCTGGATGCTGGGACAGCGTGGTCTTTGTCAGTCATTCAGAAGAGCCAGGATCCCTGTCTTTCTGTCAGGTTTTTATTTTTTCTCCGTCCTTTGGAATAGCCAAGATCGATCATATCTATCCATCCATCCATGATAATTATATCCACCCTTAATCTTCCAGTGGTACCCAAAAGGTACCTGTCATCATTACGTTATAGGGCCCACAAGTGTGCTGGGTGACAGGCAGAGAAAACAGGTCTCTGCCCCCAAGAACTTGAGATGTAACCGAAATGTCTGACCGAGTAGGGCAAAGAAGAGGTGGGGCTGCAGAGGAAACGGGCGCCCTTTGGATTAAAGGTTCCTTTTATAAAGGGTTAATAAATGCTTAATAGATATTGTAATAATTGGTTAATTGTTACAGAGGTTTACAGAGTCCAGCAGGTCAGTAGGTTGCTAATGACATGGGCTTACAACCATGTATAACACACATGCCCCAGGTCTGTAATATGCTTATAATGTCGGTTGATCCATTTGTGAACCCTGGATGAATGGAGCCTTAGTACTAAAGGAGAGCGAGGATCAGATTGCCCTATTGACTCGGTGTGAGGGTGCGTTCCTCCTGGCAGTCAGACTTAACAAAACGGCACAGGTTCTAACACACCTTGTCTGGAGACCAGAGCCGGCCCCGGAACTTCCTGCAGCCGCAAGAGGTTCCCAGAGGTGGCGGTGGGTCCGATCTTCCGAGCGCCCCTGCTCGGGGCTCCTATCTGCTAGTCCCAGCTGTGCAGGGGAAGAACAGGACTTGCTCTTCCCCTGCACAGCCGCTTTAGGGGAGATATCGGACCCACCTCCAGGTGCTTCTCCCGGGTCGACCAGAACTGCATTTCTCAGCAAATAAACGATTTGTCTGAAAACCTGTGCCCGGCTTTCTCCATAGTCCTCCCACCTTGTTCCCCTGCCACCACCTGCGTTGACTTTCCTCCGTCCCTTCCTCTGGGGCAAAGCGAAGTGGAGGTGGACAGTTCTGTCCAGCAGTAACATCCCTCCAGCCGGTGACGGACGGCTCTTGCAGTGCATTGGTAATACCTGCTCAGAACGGCTTGTCCCTTTCTCCTGACTTAACGCGAGGTGTGGGGGCGCTCCCAGGACATCCTCTGCTCTCAGGCTGTTTCGTGCCAATGACAAAGCAACAGGAGAAGTGAGATTTCGGGGGACGTTAGCTGCTCCTTGTTGGGAGATAGATAGATTGATCGAGCTATCCATCTCTCTCTGTCCCAACAGGAGCAGCTAACGTATGTAACTAATGTAACTAACAAGCAGCTTGTGTGTGTGTATACACACACACACACACACACACACATGCATTGTGATTTATATATCCATGTAATATGTTATAGGTTATTGAGGCCTGGTATGAATGACGCGTGCTTGACATGAATGTGTGTGTTCCAAGGACTATTAGAACTTTTTGTGCAAAAACGATTTTATGTTTTGAGAAAAATACAGAAAATTGTTAGAAAAGGAAATAACACCAGCTGGACTGATGTAAAATTTGTATAAGAATTGGAGGCACTGGCACGCCTTGAATGATGGTGGCCCGTCCAGGATTGTCTCTTTGGAATTGTGTGGGTAGAAGGCCTAGTAAACAAAGGCAAAGAACCGATGACGCGAGAGAATGGACTATAAATGGATGCCCATGATTTCTGCAAATCGGAGTCGTTTATGGATCCAGAGTCCCGGGTGGATATAGATGTGGTTTTGCCGGCTCCCCGCATCTTATGATCTTATCCTGACGGAAGGCACCTTGACTGGCCATCGGGACCGTTCTGACCTTTGGACTCTGGTATAGTATGTTTGGGGTGTGAATGTGGAGTGAGTTTGTTTTGTAATCAATAAAGAGCATCCAGAGTATTGTATACCAACACTGTCCGGTATCTGCCTGCTCCCCATCCCATAGGGAGACCTCTGTTGTGGGTCTAACAAGTGGTGGAGAATGCAGAGATATTAAGGAGTGCCAGATTTCGAGATGGGGTCTTACAGTGTTGGCAGGGGGGGTCCTTATTTACAACTAATAAGGGAGAGTCCTTATTTGTGAAATTTGTAAAAAAAAACAAAACAAAACAACCCTCCCCCCCCCAAAAAAACGTGTGGGGAGATACCAAGTAGTGTTAGTGTAATAATGTTTAAAATGCTGTTAAAGAAGAGAAGTAAAGGGGTGGACAAGGCACCCCAGTGGACTAAAGTTAAAGCCCCCTCTCTGTTAGAGAAGGAGATTATTGGGACCTGCCCTTGGATGGAAGTTGCGGTGGAACCTGATATAACACTTGATACCTTAGAAAACATGTTCGGGAAATATGTACGGCTGTACAAGCCTAATGCCAGTAAAAGCAAACGGCCGTAGTATGGCTGTTGTGGCAAATTGTAAAAAAGGCAATTGCATGTAAGGGGGAAGTCTGTGCAGAGTTACAAACATTACAAGAGACTTTTAAAACTTGCCAGGAAAATTTGGAACGGGAAGTGAGGCAGGCACAGATAATGCAAACTCAGTTAGAACAATTGGGAAAACAAACTAGGGAACTGGAAAAAAGAATGATGGATTGGAAAAAAATTAAAGCAGACAAAGATAAATTAGACTACTAAGGGTATGTCTACACTACAGGATTAATCCGAATTTAGATAATTCGAATTTGGGAAACAGGTTGTATAAATTCGATTGTGCGCGGCCACACTAAGCACATTAATTCGGTTTTTAAGCACATTAATTCGGTGGTGTGCGGCCACACTACCCCATTTATTTTAATCACATTAATTCGGTAGTGTGCGGCCACACTAACCCTAATTCGAATTAACAAAATCGATTTTGACGCTACTCCGTTCGTCGAGGTGGAGTACAGAAATCGATTTAAAGGGCCCTTTAATTCGAATTAACTGGCTCTGTAGTGTGGACGGGTGAAGGGTTAATTCGGATTAACGCAGCTAAATCCGAATTAAAGTCGTAGTGTAGACCAGGCAAGTAACAGAAATGAAACAGTTAATTCGGGATTTGACTAAGGAAAAAGAAGAGAAAATCGCAAGCGTTTCTCACAGTTGGCGCCTGAAAACTAGAGCAGCATTAAAAAAGCAAGTGAAAATACAGGAGCTGCAAGTTGCGTGTCAAAAAGAAAAAAAATTTGAATTTGGATTCCAATGATATTTAGTATGAAGAAAATCTGCAAGGGGGTCAGAAGAAAAGGGAATTTGACCAACCTTGAGAGGGGCTTTATGCTAAGTTAAGAAAAGAAATAAGAAACTGGCTGGAAGAGCCTAAGCCAGAAAAGTCTGTAGCAGTGGTAGAACGGAGATCAACCATTAAGACCGGGGGAGATACGGTCAGAGCAGACACAAATAATTCCTGCGATTTCATCAGACTTACAGTTGATGGTAAAGTCATTGGGCCTAGTGAATATAAAAAAATTAGCTACATGGCTGGTACAGTGGGCAGAATTAGGAGGAACAAAGAATTTAAATAAGGATGAAGCTTAGAGGTTAATCAGGGCATCTACCACTGGAAAAATTAGACAGGCAGTAAATCAAGTGAAAAATGCTTTGGGCGGGCAGCCAGAAGGACACCAACTGATACACCTCTACCCCGATATAACACGAATTCGGATATAACGCAGTAAAGCAGCGCTCCGGGGGGGGTGCGGTTGTGCGCTCCGGCGGATCAAAGCAAGTTCGATATAATGCGGTTTCACCTATAACGCGGTAAGATTTTTTGGCTCCCGAGGACAGCATTCTATTGGGGTAGAGGTGTACTATGATTTATTATGCTGTTTAAAAAAAAAAAAGATCAAAAACCCATGAAGGTGTTATCCAGTACAGATTACATGAAGTCTGGAAATTCACCCAGGGATTACCTGTTAAAGAGAATAACACTGAGATTATTGGCTGAAGAAATACAACCGCTGACTAATCCCAGGGCAGAGGTCACCAGAGCTGTCACAGCTGATTCTTTAACGGCAGTTGATTTGAATCAGAGGGAATTGTGAAATACCGTGTTTAAAGGATTGAACAAAAATGTATTAGCAATGTCTCCTAATCTGGTAAACCAAGCAGGCCAGGATGAGGGGTTAACTGTTATGGGTGCATGGAGCACTGGATAGTATGCCAACACATGATGAAAGGGGGAAGCCAGGTAAAAGAATTGAAACCTAGGGTACCTTTTGTTAAAGCAATAACATATTCAGATAAGAGTGCTTCTAAATCAGGATACCGTGAGAGAGGAAGAGGCCGTGGTAGAGGACGAAACACCCCACCCCAAAGAGGTAGAGGGTGAAATAATCAAACGGAGTAAATGTAATTTGAAATATGGCCTGGAGGTATTTAAAATTAAGGAAAGTACAATGGAAAACGTACTAATGAATTAATAAAAAGAAAATGCAAAGAATAAAAAAAAAATGTTTTAAGGAGCAAAAAAGGGATGCAGCTATGGAAGCTGAGGGTTCAAAAACACCTGCTCTGTAGGGACGCCCCCATGGCAAGTTGCTCCCACTGGAAATGGGTCCTCGGGAGTGGGAAATGGAAACTAAATTAAAATGGAATTCAAACGGGAGGCCTCGGACAACTGTCATTGTAAAAACAAATGAACCGAAAGCTGCCCTATTGAATAGTGGGGCTGGTGTAACTATTGTAACTAAAAGTTGTATTTTAACTCGATATATGTCCGAAATTATTACAGCAGCCTCCTTTATTGGGGAAGGAGTGACCCAAAAAATGTATCATTCAGTAAGAATAGCTCTACCCGGGGTGGGGATTTTTGTTGTAAAAAACAAATGCGTCAGATTGATCAGGAGCCTAAGCTAGTAATATTGGGAACTCCCTTTTTAAAAAAGAAATCGGTTCGTTTTGGATTTAACCAATAGAGTTCTGTGGCGTGTGCCTGGCTGGACGGAAAGCATCCTGACA